GCTTCGTCCGCTGCCGTTGGCTTCTTTAGCCCTGGTTCTGCCATAAATCTCCTTAATACGCGCTTCTCTGTGTCATCCCTTCGATTACAGAACAAATCCCTCTCTGCGGCTGCGGTTTCTAGTCGTAAAATTGATTTGGATGTTACACCCCGTCCAGTGACCTCCCTTCTCTTTCTGTCAGACCGAGGGGCCGGAGGAGGAGCTGGTTTAGCCTGCTGGCCCTCTGATAAATACACTGGTTTTCCGTCAGATCAGCATGCCCGACCAATTTGCCTTTTGGCGCCTGCGGCTCCGGTATCAGTGGAAGAGTACTGGCAGGAGGCAGCAAGGCATTCCCCTAAAATGGCAGTCTTGTGAGGTCATTGCTGGAGCATTTGTGTGCACAGGTAACCTTTGCAGCTGAAGACTGAAGGATCCCGTCAACCTGTATACTGGGTGTGTGTTTTGGCCTGCACAATGCTTCAGTTGGACTTCAGTTTCCACACCCCACTTCACCCCCCATTTTAAGTTTTTATTTTGTTACCTATAATTTCTGGAAGAATAAGCACAGATAAGAGCAGGGCCTGTTACCGTGAGGCCTTCAGAAGTTGGCAAATTGCATCTTGTCGTTGAACAAAAAAAATGCTGAGGTGTCACTGTGTATTTGGGTGACTGCAAAGCTCCTAAGCAGACAGAATGATGTAGCAAATTCTTGTCAGCCCTGTCTGAAGATTTTGGAATATCGTTAAAGGAGTACTACCAGTTTAAACACAGGTTTCTAACTTTGTAGCAGGGAACTTCTAAGATTATGTGGTTATGGTTTTCTGTCCTGTTGAGTAGCATGGATATTCATCCATATAATGTTCTTCTGTAGTGTTAGTGACTATCTCAGGTTTATAGGGCTATTTTGTAGAAACAAGAAATAAAAAAATTAAATATGTGCTATAAAACTATGGATCTACATAGTACCTGAAATAATTTAATTTTTCTTTCAGTATTATGTCAGTCACTGTCTTTATAAACACTCTTCCATCTGCTGATTAGAATAGTTCATCCATTCTTAGGCTAACTTGATAGTGAAAGGGTGTTTTTGTGATATGAGTTAATTGCTGTCTGGTTACCCTCCCATGACAGGCTTAAACTGTAGGTCTGCACAGATTTGCTGACTGAGGCAGCATCCATCTCTCTCTCCCTGCTATTTCCGTCTCACCTTCACCTTACTGTGTGGACAGTGGTGTTCTCAGCCATGTGGAGAACCCAGATCAGGGAGTTATTCCACATAAAACTTAACTTCTGTTTCCACCCCAAATTATTTTTTCATCTGAGTTACATCATGCAGAGCTGCAGTATGGTTGCATCAGGGCTGCAGCAGCATTGCTGCTGAACACACAACCTCAGCTTCATGCTGAGTTGAAATGGAAAAAGGTTCCTTGGCATTTTAAGCTCACATAAATTGAGGCTACCGGAGGTGAATCTGCTCCTGGCTGTTCCTCATGCCGATGATAGCATTTTTGGGACAATGTGGTAGGCTTGTTTAAGAAGCTTATCAACCTGAAAAGTTGTTTTTTTGTTTTTGTTTTTTTTAATCTTTTACCCCATTTCTCCTGATGCACAGGTTGATTTTTCACTAGAGGAACTCCCTGAGCTATCACAGAATCACAGAATCGCAAGGGTTGGAAGGGACCTCGGGAGATCATCTAGTCCAACCCCCCTGCTAAAGCAGGCTCTCCTAGAGCATTCTACACAGGACTTCATCCAGGCGGGCTTTGAATATCTCCAGAGAAGGAGACTCCACAACCTCCCTGGGCAGCCTGTTCCAGTGCTCTGTCACCCTCGAAGTAAAGAAGTTTTTCCTCATACTCAACTGAAACCTCTTATGTTTCAGTTTGCACCCATGCTCCAGTCCCTTTATCATCCTAGTAGCTCTCCTCTGGACTCTTTCTAGGAGTTCCTCGTCTTTCTTGAACTGGGGAGCCCAGAACTGGACACAGTACTCCAGGTGGGGTCTCACCAGGGCAGAGTAGAGGGGGAGGAGAACCTCCCTCGACCTGCTGGCCACACTCCTCTTAATACACCCCAGGATACCATTGGCCTTCTTGGCAACAAGGGCACATTGCTGGCTCATGGTCAGCTTGTCGTCTACCAGGACTCCCAGGTCCCTCTCAGCAGAGCTGCTTTCCAGCAGGTCAGCCCCCAGCCTGTACTGGTGCATGGGGTTTGACCTCCCCAGGTGCAGCACTCGACACTTGCCCTTGTTGAACTTCATCAGGTTCCTCTCCGCCCAACTCTCCAGCCTGTCCAGGTCCCGCTGAATGGCAGCGCAGCCTTCCGGCGTATCAGCCACTCCTCCCAGTTTTGTGTCGTCAGCAAACTTGCTGATGGTACACTCCGTCCCCTCGTCCAGGTCATATGGCCCCATGTTCTTTCAAGCACTCCTTGCTGAAGTGTGTGGGATGGTGGGAATGGCTGTCTTGAACCTTTTTAGTTCAGATGTCCAGCATGAGCTGCCTGAGAACTGTATCTCAAGTTGTACTAGAAATCCTAATCAAGACTTAACTTACTAGGTTGAATATAAAGTAATGTTTAAATATGGATTTCAAGGCCCTCTTAAACTTGAAGTACTGTTAGGGGCTTATCACTCTTGAAAGGTATTTCTGTACCTTAGGGAGCTTACTGTAGGCTTTAGTTATTTAATTTCAATATTGGTTTAAATGCCTGTACCAGAAAAGTAACTTAGTGCACCGACATTCCTGTGTCATGCTTACCTTATTTATTGTAACAGAAATACATGTCAGTGAGACAAGAATACATTTGCTTATGGGAAAAAAAAAGTCAAGGGGCAAGAGGGAAAAATACTAACTTTACTGCTTTGTTATTAAAACCCTGACTAGACAATAGTAAAAATCACTACTGATGTTGTGTAGACCAATATTAGTCAGGTCTTTCCTGTTTGGTCTGATAGAGTATTGGAGGCAAAGTCTGGCTTGGGTACCGTTTTCAGTATATGCAAAAGTTACTTAGTCTACTGCAGGCTGGCTGCAGGACAGTGCAAACTTTTTATTTCTTCCTATAAAAAAAACCTTAATTCTTCTGATTTCTGATGGCTTTTCCAGGTACATACATTAAATATAATAGGAGGAATGTGCAATGCAATTTTATGAGGAAAGACTGCGTATAGTTACTCAGACTGCTTTGCATTTCTGTGACCTCTTTTCATCTCTAGACCCTCCAGGAGATGTTCGTTCTGAGCAGCAGTATCAGCAGCAGAAATTTTCGAATCAGTCATCTGGCTCTTCTTACAGGAAAGACCATTATTTTCCAAAAGGGCAAAATAGAGGAGAGAGAGGCAGAGGAAGAGGAGGATGGCAAGGAGGACGCCAGAGTGTTTCTGAGGAAATGCCAAAATACATAACAGGTTTGTATATAAGAAAGAGGTCATAATTTATAAGGCCAGGGCAACTTGCTAGTGATTACGTTTGTTGTCTGGTTTTGTGCAAGAGCAAAAATTAGAACTGGTGCTATGTTCTTCTGTTTTTCTCCAAAATACAGAAGTAGTTGTGCACTGGAATGAATGACCAGCTGTTGTTCAATGAGTCCTTTCAAACTTCCGAGGAGAAAAGTTGCACTTGCTTGTAATGAGGGATATGCATTTTGGTTTCTGTTTGCCAGCAAAATGAGCACTGACAGTCACTTGCTTTTAATGTAGCCAGTGAAACTGGTTTTGCCCATGATGTGAGTTAAAGACAACTTCTCATCTAACAGAACATTTATTTAGGAGACCAGATTAGCTTTTCAAAATGTGGCAGTGCTCTGATAGTAGATACACTTCAATAAGCATAAAACAAGACCAACTTCTGGATTTTTTATTTGATCATTTTAAAACAGTCTATAATATGATTACTGCTTCCTTTTTTTCCACGCTGAAGTTTTTTTCATCTCTCTCAATGCCATCTGAAAAGATTGCTACTCTAATTTAATAAAGAAGTACTTAATGCAAATAGGACTTGATGGTTGTACCATGGCTTTCAGTTTCATTCATGCATAAGTATTTGCTTAACCATATCTGTAAGCTTCAGAATATCTAAAAAATTGAATTTTTTTCAGTAATAGTATACAGTATTTTATCTCAAGAACTCATTAGACTGATGTGCTAGGAATACTCTGCTGGAATTCAGCAATTTATGTACAGTGTCCCCTTCTTTGATTTTTGCCATTTGTTGTGCTCTGATGCCGTTCTTTTTATTTCAGTGTCTACCTTTGCTCAAGCTCGTGCTGCTGAGATTAATGCCATGTTGAAAGCAGTTGCGCAGAAGTCTTCAAACTCCCTAGTTTTCCAGACTCTACCTAGGCACATGCGAAGGCGAGCTATGAGTCACAATATTAAACGCCTACCCAGGCGTCTTCAAGAGATTGCCAGGAAAGAGGTATAAGTGCATTTTATAGTATCTGATAGACTATATAGTGGGCATAGCTAATGCACAGTGTTCAGCTGTACATTTATTAACGTTCAGACCTGAGCTTACCTGCAAAACTTTCCTGCCTACACAGGTTCTCCAACTTTGACTGATGTTTGGATTTAAAATGCAGGAACACCTCAGTTTTGCATGGTAACTCAAGTAGATCTCCCTAACCCCTTGGCTTTGTGATTACTGAACATCTTGAAAAGTTATTAGGTAAA